AACAAGGAGCCACCGTTCAAAGCACAGCACCGCTTTTTTTTTGGGGGGGGGGTTTTCACTCGGGTTTACCTCTTTACTTCTGGCTTAGACTCCCACCCGCAGCACCTGTACTGCCCCAAAAGGAAGGAAAACACCCCTTGGCCAACCCAACTGCCCCCCAAAGCAATCCCTCGTCTCGCCGCGGGGGAAAGGGTTGGGGAGGGGGAAAGCGCGCAACAAGAAACATTAAAACTTTTGTTTTCGTCGGAGAAACTGCAAAGTGACAGCAGTTTCAGGTTACACCCCTAAACCTGCCTTGCTATGGTAGTTTTTCAAATTAAAATATCTTCCGTGGCCTCAGCCGCTCTCGAGCCGTCCGTAGGCAAGAAAGAAAGGAGGCAGGGCAACACTTAAGCTCAGCCATAATTGGAAGTATGTGAAAAATGAAGTGTCAGTTCGGTCAATAAAGGGCAAAGGTGAAGGGGAACCGCAGCCCAAACTCGGTGCGAAATGTGCTCATTAAGACACCCAATCCGCGGGCTCCTGCCCACCTATCCCATTAGTCATCGGCCATCTGACCGCTTCAAATGCCTTGCCTCCCCGCTCTTATTACTTTTCTTCTCCCATGTCAAAAAAAAAAAAAAAAAAGAGAAAAAAAAAAAGGGGGGGAAAAAAAAAAGAGGCGAGCTGGTATATAAATCCTCGCTCAGTCATCTGGAACATAATGTGGCCCTTCTCTTCCCCCATCCGCCGCCTGCCTTGGCAGCCTCCAAACAACCGCCTTGAGAATCCCGGCAATAATAAACACGATTGCCTTTTTGCCTATAGGTTGCCCGAACTCCTACAAAAGCCTGAGAGAGAAAAAAAAAACCCAACAAAAAAAACCCAAAAAAACCCCACCCCCCACACAACAAAACACAACAAAACATTGCGGTCATTGATACATTTTTATAAAGAAATATCGCCGCTTCCTACTCCCGGCTCGAAAGAGCAACAATAATTGGGAGGTTAAAAAAATGTTTTGAACCCAGGCCCGGGCTTGCACAAAAAGAAGGGGAAAGAAACAATACGCACAAATAGGGGACACTGATGGATTATTTTTCTTCTTCTTTGAAGGCGTGTAGGAGAGCTAATCGCGGGAATTAAAGAGCCCTGCTCTGGATTAAAAGTGACTGGACCCAGGGCTTTGTTCAGCAGCATCCTGGCCTGACCACTTGAAAAACAAACAAAATAGTTCTCTTCATTCCCCAGACGGGAATCTTTTAAAGTTAGAATAGGCAATAAGATAAAAAGAGTGCTGCCGTGAGCTCGGCATCACCTGCCTGTACCTAAGAACTGGCTGCTCTGTTGGCTTTTTTCACAGAATTTAGCAAGTTATTTCTCCGCCGTGTCAATCCAGATCTCTCTGCGCCGTTTGGAGACAGAGCTCCTCAGGCCCTTGGCGATCAGAGCAATGGGAAAAGGGCCCACGAAAACTCTTTCATAATATTATTCTGCATTCCTGTACTACAACTATCCCCTACGATGACACAATACCGGCCCTTTATAAGAGGTTGCGTCAACGTGCTCTGCAATAACATACCCTGCTGCTCAGTGGCACGAGACCCCAGAACAGCTCCCTCGCAGTTCAAGATGGATTTCTGCAACAGATCGAAGCAGCTGGGAGTCATTACTATTTACTCATAATATTATTCTGCATTCCTGTACTACAACTATCCCCTACGATGACACAATACCGGCCCTTTATAAGAGGTTGCGTCAACGTGCTCTGCAATAACATACCCTGCTGCTCAGTGGCACGAGACCCCAGAACAGCTCCCTCGCAGTTCAAGATGGATTTCTGCAACAGATCGAAGCAGCTGGGAGTCATTACTATTTACTAAGCAAATAAATTTACATGTTCAACAA